CCCAAAAAAAAGAAAACATAGACATTTAAAAATATGCTCCCAATCAAGACAACCAGCACAAGTGACACTCGTTGCTCTGATTGGGGTAAACAGCAAACATAGAAATAAAAAACCCCAAAAAACCCCCATAAAACAGAAAACATAGAATAACACACCTGGCTCAAAAATAGTCCCAAGCCAGGGTAACGTCCCCCCCCCCAAAAGGCGCGGACTGGGGCCGGCCTTTAAATCGAGCAAAACAGGGGAGGGCTGGGTGGGCATTCCTCCTCGGCGGCGGCTCCGGCTCCGGGCTTGATCCCCGTTTAAGGCCAGTGGTGTGTGTTCCCAGTACGGTCCGGCCTGTTCCTGCTCCACGCACCAAGCCTACGGTGTGCGTCGCCAGCCCGGTCCGGCCTGTCCTGCTCCACGCACCAAGCCCAAGCAAACTACCCAATAATCCCCTCCATGAAGACTGGGGGTCAGCCTGATGAACCAAACTACCCAATAATCCTCCATGTAGCCTGATTCTCTCTCACACACATACATAATCAAACATGTTTTTTCTTCCAGTCTCACCTGAACACCGTTTTTACCTGTTTATTTTCATATCAGCCCTTTTGCGATTCCAGCCTCACCTGAACACCCGTTTTTACATGTTTATTTCATATCAGCCCTTTTGAGCTTCCCAGCCTCACCTGAACACCCGTTTTTACCTGTTTATTTATCTGCAGTGTTTTTGTCTTTCACTTCTTTTCTTTGGTGTGAATAAATAAAACCTAAAACATAATTGAGAAATGTTTTCACTTGCAATGCCTTGTTATGTTTAAACCGTGATTTAAACTGAGACTCAGTGATATGACATCTAAGGCTGTGTGTCTGCCTGTATTCATATATGGACCTGATTTCCATTCAGACTGCTTTGTCCAGCCAAGTGGCACTTTGTGGGATACATTGAATGCAATGGAGTTGAAGTTGTGTTCCCAGCAGTCCACAGGATGGCGCCAGAGCAGCATAACTGGACTGGTGAGACCTGAGTAATATCCCAGGGAAATACACTATATATACAAAAGTATGTGGACACCACTTCAAATTTGTGGATTCTGCTATTTCAGCCACACCCGTTGCTGACAGATGTATCAAAGCGAGCACACCGCCATGCAATCTCCATAGACAAACATTAGCAGTAGAATGTCCCATACTGAAGAGCTCAGTGACTTTCAACGTGGCACCGTCATAGGATGCCACCTTTCCAACAAGTCACCTTTCTGCCCTGCTAGAGCTGCCCCCTGGTCAACTGTAAGTGCTGTTATTGTGAAGTGGAAACGTCTAGGAGCAACAACGGCTCAGCCGCGAAGTGGTAGGCCACACAAGCTCACAGAACGGGACCGCCGAGTGTCTATGGAGATTGCATGGCTGTGTGCTCGATTTTATACACCTGTCAGCAACCGGTGTGGCTGAATTAGCCGAATCCACTAATTTGAACGGGTGTCCACAAACTTTTGTATATATAGTGTACCTTCACATAATGTCCGCTTGTCTGAGTGCCTTATTGGAATCATGTTCTTAAAGTGCGCATGTACAGACAGACAGGAAGTGGCTGATTAAATCACCTTTATTAAAAGATACCGGATGCTGGAATAGCAACACTTTAGGATGCAGCAGTAGCTTCCCAACACACAGGCCCAGGCTCGTGCCCAACCAAACTCCCAACTCACATAGAGGATGAACCCAAAATGGCACCCTATTCCCTATATAGTACATTACCTTTAACCAGAGCCCTATGTAGACTAGACAACACCTCATGCATCTAGTGTTCTGTTTGTCCCATGAATCACCCTGTGAACGCATCTCTAAGGGTCCAGGTCAAAAGTAACACACTATAAAGGGTATAGGGTGTCATTTGGAACACACCCACAGTAATAATAACAAAACTGTTTCTGATCGTACTTTTAAAAAAACTATAATAATCCCTGTAAATATCTGCAGTATCCTTGCCAACCATTTCAATCTGCAGATTGGTTTTTCTTTTAAAATCACAACTTGACAGTAAAATAGTCCAAAATAAAGAAGAGATCTGAAACCATGCAACACTCAACAAGCCCACATTACAGTTACTTCTGGGTTCACAACCATTTTGAATTATCAATATCATGTTCATCATCAACACTTACAACATCATATGACTTTACACAATAGTGAGAAGGACGTTTGGACGTTTTTTTTTTTTTTTAGAGGGTTTTGGGAAGGACAGAATCAATCAAATTGTGTAGACCTTATCCACTTGAGTTACATTACTGTACAAAAGGAAATTGTCAAATTATAGATAGAACATATTTTTTGTTTCCTTAGTTTGTTACCCGAGCCAGTCGATGCCTTTAGGCCTCATGCTTGGTGTTAAAGTGGGACCCTGAGCAACAGATATACAGAACACTTCAGCACACTAACCTCCATGTTGGTACCAAACGCTAGCCTGCTGCTCCCAGATCAGTGTCTAACCTCCATGTTGGTACCAAACGCTAGCCTGCTGCTCCCCGAATCAGTGTCTAACCTCCATGGTTGGTACCAAACGCTAGCCTGCTGCTCCCAGATCAGTGTCTAAACCTCCCATGTTGGTACCAAAACGCTAGCTGCTTGCTCCCAGATCATGTTCTAACCTCCATGTGGTACCAAACGCTAGGCATGCTGCTCCCAGATCAGTTGTCTAACCTCCATGTTGGTACCAAACGCTAGCCTGCTGCTCCCAGATCAGTGTCTAACCTCCATGTTGGTACCAAACGCTAACCTGCTGCTCCCAGATCAGTGTCTAACCTCCATGTTGGTACCAAACGCTAGCCTGCTGCTCCCAGATCAGTGTCTAACCCTCCATGTTGGTACCAAACGCTAACCTGCTGCTCCCGATCATTGTCTAACCTCCATGTTGGTACCAAACGCTAACCTGCTGCTCCCAGATCAGTGTCTAACCTCCATGTTGGTACCAAACGCTAGCCTGCTGCTCCCAGATCAGTGTCTAACCTCCATGTTGGTACCAAACGCTAGCCTGCTGCTCCCAGATCAGTGTCTAACCTCCATGTTGGTACCAAACGCTAACCTGCTGCTCCCAGATCAGTGTCTAACCTCCATGTTGGTACCAAACGCTAACCTGCTGCTCCCAGACCAGTGTGTGCTGTCATTCCATTCATTGTCATGTTTGGAGTGGCATGATGGCACCAACAGACTGATACCCAGGCTAACCAAACACCATCATAACAACATTCTAATTTACATTCTGACTGGAATGTTCATGATGCTTTGGGGTGCCAACATGGCTTCCATTAAGATACTAAACCTCAAACCCAGTTTACCTTCTACTCTGCTGTATATTTATGTCTTAGGGTCACTTCCTGCCAGAGGCAAAGATACTGAGTAGGGCTCAGTCATTGGGCTTTATAATACTGTATCAAGTCCTACAGAACATGCATATTCTACACATCCCAATCACATCCTCTTCAACATCACAGCCAGACAACAGGCTTCCTCGGGATGTTTACTTGATGTTTAATGGAAGATGGTTGATACATGGTGAATGGCTTTATCTTTTAAAGAGCAACTCTCTCAATATGCAAAGGCAGGAAATTGGGGAAATGACATTCAAGCGGCATTGAAAAATAGAGCAAATATAAGGACAAATCTGATGAACTTGTCAGAGTAAGACAACAGCAACAGTTGTCTGTTGATATGTTACCATGGTAACCCATCTTCCCTGTAAAACACCTCCAGACAGTGTGAAACCCTGTTGTTTTACATGAATTCAATAACAGCTCAGGTGTGTCAAGTACAACAGAGACAGAAGGCAACTGAAAGACACAGTAACAGAAATGCAGACGTAAAGAGCAAACGGTGAGAAAGAGACATTTCAAGATCTAGAACTTAAAAGACGGTCATTCTAGAACTAGAACTCAGAAGATGGTCATTCTAGAACTAGAACTCAGAAGATGGTCATTCTAGAACTAGAACTCAGAAGATGGTCATTCTAGAACTAGAACTCAGAAGATGGTCATTCTAGAACTAGAACTCAGAAGATGGTCATTCTAGATGTAGAACTCAGAAGATTGTAACTTCTTGAGGAGTATGAGACACGCTGTCGTCAAACATTCTAACTGATCACATTACAAAGGACTGCTCAGTGAAACCTTGTTGAACTGACAACTTCCAGAATACAACACTTTAGAATAACCTAGAATCTTCCTCTCACTATGGGGTATAAATACATCTCCATACTCCAACTTCAATGTATGAGGGAGTCCCACATGTTATAACTTTCATTTGATCCACTTCAGTTAACACACTATAGTAGAGGACATCAGATGACCTCACAGATAGAGCCTACAGTTCACACCCCCTGTGTCCCAAATGGCCCCCTATTCCCTGCATAGTGCACTACTTTAGACCAGGGCTCTGTTGGTAGTGCACTATATAGGGAATAGAGGGGCATTTTGGGATGCAGCCCACCATGTTCAGTTGTCTACTATGATGTATACTTCCTGGTTTGGTTTATGACAACATCCTCTCTGTCTCGTTCTAGACTGTGCCTAACCTAACTTCCTGTTTACACCTTT